AGGTGGCATACAGAGCGTGTAGATGTTGTTCTCCTTGCAGAGCTCCTGGAACGCTAGAGATTGGTGGCTCTTATGGCCATCAATAATAAGCAGGCGACGCGCGCCTATACTACGAGCCTGCGTGTGAGCGTTGAAGTGCTTTAGCCACTTAACTCCAAGCTCATTATTCGTCCAGCCATTGTCGCTGACTGCAATTGCCCAGTCGCGTGGGATATCCTCCTCATACCAGGCTGATAGGTGGTACTGACCAGCGAAGATGAGGAATGGTGGCACTGACCAGCCAGCAGCGCTGATAGCAGCGATCAGCGTTACCCACTCGCGATTGCCTGGCTGAAGAGTCTTTGGCCTGCCTCTCCTCTCTGCTCCTGTTATAACCAGCTGCGTTGTAATCTTGCCTATTATAAAGCTAGCTTTATTAAAGTTATAGACGTCCTTATCACAGATACCCTGCTTAGCCTTTGTCTCTTCTACAAGCTTAAACCACCTCTTTATTAATATTGCATCCTCACACAGAGCTCGCTGCCTATTGTACGCTTGGTTAAAACACGTCTAAAGACTGTCTGTACGCTTGACAAAGTTAGCTGGCCACTTCTGCCCAACCTGGCCAGCGCCGCGTGCAGCCAGCAGCTTATCAGCCATATCACGTGCAGCTGCGTAGGTAGGCGCAAATCCACGCTGATCTAGGTGAAGTATATAGCTGACAATCACCTCCTCTTCTCTCTGGGTAAGCTTCCTTGAGTTAGGCTGGCAATCGCGTCGCGCGCGTTTTCCAGCGCGCCGGTCAATTAGGGTTGATTTTGGGATATTAAAGACTGTAGCAGCGCGTCGCGTACTCTGAATTTGGGCAGAATCTATAGATAAGAGAGCAAGCTGAATATCTGCTTCATTTGACTGCATGAGAGGAGCGCGGCGTGGAGGCATTGTGTGTTAAGATAGAGTAGGTGATCAAAGTTGGTGGGGTGACCGACTCGCTTGTCTGACCGACTCGCTTGCCAACCATGTTAACAGGTATTAGGATTAAAGCTATTGTAAGACAAGAGTGGTAACACAAACTCTAGGCCTACTCTACAAAAGCAAAGCTTAGAAATCCTAGCACCTACACAGCAAGATTCGTGCTAAAACTTATAAGCAAAATAACTCTGCTAAAAAACACTAGAAGAGAAATTACAAGCGCATACTACGAGCTAAAACTTAGACATAGATATAATAAAGTATACCTACACAATATTCAAAAAATAGAAAGCTCTAATGTAGCTGTAGATATACACAAACACCTTAAAACCTACTGCTTAGCTGTAGAAACTACAGAGAAGCTAGAAAGAAAATAAAGAGCAGCCTATAGGAGACAAAGCCAACAATGCCTCTTCTCCTAGACACAAAAAGGGGAATCTAAGCTACATTAGCTTTTATTTAAGAGACTAGAGCAGGCACACGCAAGTAGTACCTACAGCCAACAACAGACAACTAATTTCCTTTGCTTATTACTAGAGCACTAGCTCTCACTAGGCTGGCGGAATGGGTATACTCCAACGTCCTTCGTGGGTACCCCCCAAAACTTTGTCAATAATACATGGATTCTAGCGAAATAGGGCTTAAAAGAAAGAGAAAAACTACCTCTACATTTCTGTAGTAGAGGGTTTTGTTATAACTATTAAACTGCACAAGCTAGAGGCTAGAAAAGGTTAAAAAAGGGGGGGTACCTAGCGAGCATACCTATTAATAGGTATACTTTGCTAGGTAGTGTTAATAACTCAGCTAATACTAGGCAGAATGAGCTAATTCTTTTTTTATTAGAAGGCGCAATACTAGGCGCTTCTATCGAATAATAGATTATGTAAGCGTATCTCTGCTAGTTAAGAAGCTATAAGCCAAAACGTAAAAAAGCATACCCTACCCATCCGCCAGCCTAGCTCTCACTATATGTCTACGAACCTATATATACTATTCCCTTACACAGAAAAACTTGTAAATTACTAGAACAGCCTAACTGCTCTCGTGCTATATAGTCTCAGACTCACACAGGACGTTAAACTAATCAATCAATCAATCAATCAATCGATAGCTTGCCTACCTCTATAGTTGAAGCGTTTAAGAAGGTCTTAAAGGGGGCAGCTATAATTGCGCATAAGCTAGTGTTGGCGCAACAGGAGATTGCTAAGCTTTAAGCTACTAATAAGGCAGCTACACAATAAAAATTACACAAAAGAAAGTAGGTTAAGAAAGATAGTACTCTAATAATTAAAGAGGGCTAGCAATTAATAGCTCTAAAAGAGCTTAGGGTGTGTGGTGTTAGTAAGAAGGCAAAGAAGCAGGTGCGCGCTAAAGTGGGTGAGTCTTCCTAAAGGCGCTGTGGATATTGTAGTAAGACTAGGCATAACGCGTGAACGTGTAAGAAAGAGGTAGAAGTAGTTTCTAAATAATATTACAGGCTGTACTGCAGTTTGCAGCGCTAATTTAGCTTGTTTTAGGCTATAATAGGGTGGAGTTTAGTTGGGGCTTGGCAAAAGTAATTCTCTCGCCCGTTGATTCTTTCGCCCGTGGGGTACGTTAGTAGTATTGCACTTATAAGCGCGCAGTTTAAAGAAATTATCCTAAATAGAGCACTCCTCTGTGACGCTTCGAGTGCAGCGTTGCCGTGCTGCATTAAACATTGAGTATGACTGTTCAGCACATACCTACTGTTGTACCATTGCAAGAGCAGGTCTAGCTCGAAGTAGGAGAGCGATGCGACCATGTAGCACGCTACTGTATCGATCTTCAAAAACAAAGAAGTCTCAGTTTCTTTTTTTAGTATGGCTTCTGGTATGCTGCCGGTATTTTTGAGTCTTGGCTCGGCTCAGTGCCATCAGAGTCGATGCTAAGCCCGGTGGATGTGATGGAGAACGTTGCCCGCCAGTGCAGCAGTCTTGCAACTTAGCACGATCATCTTGCCCCGCGTCTTCTCAAGCAGAAGGTTGCGCAACCTGCGAACCAAGTCATTTTTTTGCACGCTCCAACAGTGCACGCTCCAACAGTCGCTCGTCGATGTGTGGTAGTTGCTTGGTCCTGGCTCGCTGGTGCCTAGAGGTACGATAAAGTCAGGTCACTCAACTACTGAAACAACCATTGCTTGTGTTGTAATGTTTGTAGATCTCTGGTGTAGGCTTCTATCGCCGATTCACACTTGATGAGTAAGAGGCAGGCGGGCAGTCTTGGTCATGCTCTGTAGGGCTCATTGACAGCCTAGGGCTAAGTCAAGGGACGTGTAGGTAGGCGAAGCAGAAAACTAAGGCAGGTGGCTGAGAATAGAGACACAAGCTATGAAGCCCTTAAGACCTTCAGGCATGTGGCTTGTTAGCGAAGTTGACTTGGTGGAGTGTGATACGTACCTAAGGAGAGAGTATCTTGAAGAAAGACAAGGTGAGTTTCCGTAGCTGTCTTGTAAGAGCATGCTAGCCTTAATATAGGCTTTCTTTGATTTGGGCCCCTTCATTCAGGCCCCTACATTTGGGCGTTGTGTCTCTTTCGGGCCCTGTTTTTTCCCAAGTACTACCTTTTTTTAGCGCCTTTGCTAGACCTAAATCAAGGCCCTTGTTAACCTTAAGGCTGTTTCACTAATTTGACTCTAATAGACTAATGATAGTAGGGTAGGACTTAATCAATACCAAGGGGCACAGTTTGTGCCTAGCAGCAGTAGGCCTTAATAGGTGTAAGATGTGAGGAACCTCAAAGAGCACCTCGGCATAGGAGCACAGGTTGATTATATAGCACGTGTTGTAGACCATAAGTAGATGGCAAATAGAACCGTATTCTTAAAAATGTTACGTTGCCTGCAAGATCTGCCTTGTACACGGGATCATACCTCGTCCCCACACTGTTCCTCAACCAAGCGTTGCTGACCTCTACGCCTTGCTGGCTGATCAAAGCGGCTGACCGTGGTGAGTGGCAAAGCTTCGGCTGTAGCCAGTCAGGATTTGGTCGCGCTGCTGAATACATAGAGTACTGTTATTGGGGAAGGGACTGCGAGGTGCCACCTGTTGCGTCATCCCTAGTGGTGTTGTGGGGAAAGACGAGTAGTTACGTGGGGCAAAACCACAATGTCTGCCATTCCTTTCATGCTACACCGATAGCAGCGCCGAATGCGAGTCTGAGGTGCTCGAATACTAGTGCCGAGCACACTCCTCGTCGAGAGTCATACATGAGCCGTACATGCCGGTCGTCGCAGATGGGCAAGACCGGCCTTACAGTGCAGTGGTTTTGCAATGCACTAGCTTTGCGTTACTGTAACCAGCACTCCTTCGATTTCATCCAGCCGTACTTTACACGTCTCATTGAGTCTGCAAAGAGTAGGTTGGTTGATGTGCTTTTGGCAAAGCAGCGATACATGGTTCTGATTGCGCAGCGTGACGCCATTTGTCAACGAGAATGAATTGCACCCACCAAGACTCGACGTTCGAGCTCCCTTGTACATTCAGTGACACATCAGATGCTGGTTGAATCAGCACAAGCTTCATATTCAACCTTGCATAGCTTTCGCGGTAAGAGTACTGATGCAGTTTCATCCTTCTGATTCTTCTAGCTAATTCTGAGCTGCGCGGAGGATCCCCTTCATATCAAGGTACAGCTGTGGGCTAGGATTTCTCCATGTCCCGCCGTTGGGAAATACTTTCCCTCGAGGTCTGTTGACACAAGAGACCATTGGTTAGTAGCATGGCGTAAAGTTCATGCGCGCTGTTTTAAGGAAGTCTTGTTCATCTACCACAACTCCCTTTTTCAAATTAGCTAGCTCTTCATCGTCAAGATTGTTCTATATGTTAAATCGTGGAACGACCCTTATCTGCTGTCTGTCACAGTGAATGCAGATCTAAAAGAGCACCTAGAAGAATGACTCAGGATTATGCATATACGAGTGCTGTCCGTTGTTTTAAAGCACTCTAATGGTCACGAAAGCTCGCGTGCCGGTCTTCCCGCGCGCTCCTGAAGCTTGCTCGCGGTACTTCTTAACCGCAAGGTTAAGGTCGACCAAAAATGCGGGCCATAACAAGTTATCATTAGCTTCGTTCACTAGCAGGTTGTTTAGTGATATTTCGCGTTAAAGCATGCCCGGCTGCGTGTGTAGGGACTCGTAACCCTCGATGCAGCCCTCCAGTGCGGCAAGTAGGCTGTTCTGGCAGCTTGCTTTATAGATAGACTTTCTGTAGTCACGCACGATGACGCGGCAATGGATGTGGTTCGTAATGGCCGGTTTTGTCAGAGCAAGTGCGCTTGCTAGGTGGCAGTGGTCTGTGCAGCTTGAGGATCGCTTTCGCCCAGCGAGGCTGCTGCTTCTGTCCAGCTTGCGATCGGCCGTGCTACGGTTCTGCGTCAAACTCTAGGACCCGACCAATGTTCTTCAGCGAAGTCCAAGAGCTGCTCTGTAAGCGGTGCAAACTAGCGTAACACCCCCCCCCCCCCTCCTCATCCCTTCAGGCCAGCCCTGCCAGTCACTCTCCTCCTGGTAGAGCGGTATGTCTCCCTCTTTGTACTTGTTAAACACAGCCTGTCCTGCCAGTCTAAGATCTGCGACCTCTCCAAAGAAGGCGTCGAAGTAACCAGGTACGCCAACGTACATGTGGCCCAGCCCCACCCTCAGCAAGTCTTCGACGTACTTGTGGTGCTCGGTTGAGATCGCCAAGCTGCCCGTGCTGCACAGCCATGGTGTTTGTTGGATCGACGACGCGGGGCGGGGAGACGGAGTGGACGCGGTAACGGCATCACAGACAGCGTCCCAGATGGCTTCGTCGGGCTGTTCGTTTAGGACGGCATACAGGAGGGGTTTGATCCGAAGAGCGTCAAAGCTGTAAGAAACAATCGACAGATACAACGGCGCTAGACCGTTGAGGAAATCTCCGTTGCCATGCTGTGCGGGCAACGCTTGAACCACATCAAGACTTTACAACGTAGGAAATAGAGCCAGGAGAACTCGTATTAAGCCTTTTACTATCAACAACTCCTCTTCGAGTCTGTAGATGGGTATTACCTTCGCGATCGACATTCGAATCGACTTTGTCCTTCCAAAGCGAGGAATACTTTAAATCGAAAGCTGTCTAACCTATTGCCTATTAAATGCGCTCTAATGATCTCCAACCAAGACAGGGGAACAATCATCATGGACAGGCTGGTAGTCCGTGGTTCGTAGGCGGTCGCAAATGCCAATGAGTTGGCGGCAGTGCGGGCGAAGGAGCGATGTTGGAAGCGGAGGCGCAACAACGGCCTGGCCAGGTGGTAGTCCGGGGGAACGTCGGCATTAGTCCACGTCGAGACATTCCGCCAAGGGAAGAGCTGCGATCATCATTGGCCGACTTTCCTTCCGAATCCCGAGAGTCAGCTGATTTGCTCTTCTAACACCGACAACGCGGCAGCATCCACTAGCTTATGAAGATCCATGTTGGCCCAAGCTGCAAATGCGCTGACAATCGCGAAGGAGTCCGCCCAGTGCCAGGGGGCCATACATGACCGGCTCATTTACCTTGGGGCCATCGTGAACAAAGTTGCCCTCAGGCACTCAGGCATCGAGATAGCTTGAAGGAATGAATTTGGCTGCAGTTCACTTGATGTCGAGTAATACAATTCGACTGCGTGAAACAAGGACGTCTAGTTCTCCCCGAGCCATTCCAATAGGAGCGCTTGCTCTTTCACGATCCGCCACAGTCTCCAGTTATGTCGCCAGCCGATCCCATCGAAGGCTAATGGGGACAATATCTTGATGTCAATCAGATGCCGATGATCCTGAATGGCTTGACGAATGAAATCATAGATCCTGGGGTCCTCTATCAAGTCAAATCCCACTTCCAACTCAATAAACCTCAGCTCCCTGTGAAAGCCCAAAAAGTCTGCAAGCTTTCTCGCCGCATCCTCACCTTCCTCACGCTTGCGCAAACCGATACGATATTTCGCACGTCGTATCAGAGCTGCGTTGTGATTGTCCTTGCTGATTCGGTGGGCGTGGAAAGAATTCTCTCCGTACAGTACGTAATGTGCCTCCTCGTGTATAAGACGGCATGTGCCTAAGATGGAAGGATGGAGGTTGTTGGGACAGAGCACATGGTCTCCATCTTGTGGAGGTGGTATCATACGCACGTGTCGATCTGAGCGAAGGAGGATGCGATATATCAGACAACGGATTTCTGGTGGGAGTCGCAAGAATGCGCAGCGCAAGAGCGAAACGCTTTTACTTGCTGCAGAGCGTCAGCATGATTCCATTCCACCAGACGTCCCTAGCACGAGTACCGTACACTGTGCTTTGTTCGGCGCGTCGATGCTTTTGCGGTTATCCGTCGAGTTCGCGAAGCAGCTTGTGACTGATGATAAAGCACGCGGTGCTGGTATCAACTCGTAGACAGCGTCCCAGATGACTTCGTCAGGCCGTTTGTTGAGAACCGCACTGAGAAGTGGCTTGATACGCTCGCGTTCGTAGTAGTTTGAAATAATTGCCAAACTTAGTCTTGACAGGTCGTTGAGAAGGCTCCCTTTGCCACACTTTGAAGGCAACAGCCACGAGGTACGGAGGCATTGCACGGCAAGAAGGAGATCGACAGCGGTATCATTCTGCCCTGCTCACGTCAAGATCGACTCAGATGATCATCGAACTGACAGTACGCTTGTTGTCCGCCACTATGTTGCCTTCATCTGTCGTAGCCGAAGCGTGAGCATCGCGGAATTTATCCAACTCCTGGCCGATCGGATTGGCATGGATTATCTCTGACCGTGTCGCCATCAGTCACCGATGTCGCATTTATGGAGCATTAAAGTAGGGGTGAAAGAATAAAGAACCTTAGACGAGAGAGAGTGCGTGGGCAAAAGCGTGGCATTGCGCACAGCAGTGGGCTGATCCGATCCGGCAGAACGTCGGCACTTGCTAGATCAACGGTTTTAATGACGATTTGCTTTTCGGAAAACCAGAACACCTGTTTGTTCCAGTTCCTTGTACATCGTTCCATCAGCCCGTGCACGACATCGGATCGTGCACGCCTTTTAGCTTAACCAATGCCCACACAACCAAATCCTATATAATTTACTCAACACCATGCCGGAATTAGACAACGCCGTTGAAGCCCTAGGTCCATAGAAGTCAGGCGAATCATATCCCTACGCTCAAACTGCAAAAAATATGGCTGCAATCAATTAACGTTATTGCGCTGGCACTCTGGGGTAGACTGGCGGATGGGTACCCCTTACCTAGGGTAGGGTATAGGGTGGGTGTAGGTCGCACAGACTAGGGTATAGGTAGGGTAGCTTATTACCTAGTTAACGTACCTGACGGGTGAGTCGACCGGACGGGTGAGTCTAGGCTGGCGGATGGGTATTGTAACGGGCTAGGTCCGTGCTAAGGTCTCGGCACCGGAGGCCTCGATCGCCGGAAGCTAACAAACGCACAAGCGGAGGCTGCCGAAACTCCACACCGGAGAGTGTTGGCGCTCGAGCTCCACACCGGAGACTGTCGGCACTTGAGCTCCACACTGGAGAGTATCGGCATACAGACTCCGCGCCAGAGAACAAAAACCACTAGAAGTCTCCAAGCCAGAGCCTGCATTAATTCTATCTAAATTTTACTTGCACTTAGCCCCTAGTGCCCAGCTCCTTTACAATTAGAATTGATTAAAATAATTCTTCGTTCATCTGCTTCTTGCAACGACGCAGGCAGGAAGATAGATATCAGGAATAGGTGTGAATCCGCTACAAGGCATATGGTGTAACGATCTAGACTCTAAAGCTAAAGAAGAGCTAGAGCTAGCCGGTTACATCCGCTTAGCCAGCTTGGCTTAAGCTAGATATATATTATCTACTGTCGCAGCAGATATCATGCCTATTTACCAGCCAATTCAGGGGTGCAAATGTATGTACATTTTGCCTCTATTTTGGCTGTAATAGTTTTAAGCCTAGACTCTAAAGCTGCGCAAGCAAAGGTTAAATAGATTTTTGTGTTCTATAGGTAACTATAGCCAAGCCTTAGCATAGTACCTGCTTAACTAGGGCTACTATCTAGAGTATAGTGTAGAGTATTACAAAGAAGGATTAACCTACTTAGCATGTTAGGCATTTCTCTGCGTTAAGTTACCTCTAATTATGCTGTCCTAGTTAGACGTGAGAGGTAGGCTGGCGGAATGGGTATACTCCAACGTCCTTCGTGGGTACCCCCCAAAACTTTGTCAATAATACATGGATTCTAGCAAAATAGGGCTTAAAAAAAAGAGAAAAACTACCTCTACATTTCTGTAGTAGAGGGTTTTGTTATAACTATTAAACTGCACAAGCTAGAGGCTAGAAAAGGTTAAAAAAGGGGGGGTACCTAGCAAGCATACCTATTAATAGGTATACTTTGCTAAATAGTGTTAATAACTTAGCTAATACTAGGTGGAATAAGCTA